GACCCCTTTGAAGTATAAAATATAAACGCGGAAAAATTATAACCCCCCCAAAAAAATATTATTTTTTAATGATAAATCTAAGACTATAACTATATTAAACTATTATGAATAATCACATTTTCTTTATATTTAAAAATAAGTCTCAATGTGACATTTGCTTTTATTTTGATTGTAATATTGCCTTGAAATCTGGGATCGTATTAGACAGAACAACACACATATCGTCGATTTTTAGCTTTGGTTTCCGTATCTATATTTTCGAATCTATATTCAATTGAAAAGCTTGTTAGATTGTATTGTGATATACTATTTTACGATCACGATAAATTTATATGGCATATAAGATTATTGATATCGAAGTTTGATATTTAAAAACATTGTTGCCTTCCAAGTGACGAAAAGCGGGATAAACATTATTATTGTTATCTTAAAAACGCAATCAAAACAAATTTATTTTGAATTATTTAAAAAAAGACTCACAACCGTCCAGTAGACACCCGAGTAACCCGAGTATCTACGGACCCCCGGTTAATGATCTATGAATAAGAGTAAAGTCAACAATAAATAATTAAATCTTGTACCCGATGTTTATTTAATACTTTTTTCTTCTGAATATAACATATAATATGTAACATAATATATATAATATGTCCCTACACACTAGAGTGGGGGGGGGGTGATAAAACTGTCCACTTATATTGTAATGGGAGTCCGCATACTGCAGCGGTAAAATATCGCCGCGCGATATTTATAAAAACATGCTCGATTTTACTGCCACCGCGCAACGGTATTTTCAGTTGACATTCTTAATTTTTCCTGGAAATCAATGTTAGTATCAATTTGTATTATTAATTATTATTTTAAATTATTTAATATTAAACTCTAAGATTAATAATAAAAATATGTATAAATGTATATACGAAATTAAAAATTACTATTTTTTATTCATTATTAACTAACTAACTAACTAACTACTAACTAATTTGCTATTGTATGCTTGTAAATGGATACCTTGTATTTAAAATAAAGGTTTGGTTATTTGGATAATATTGATTACGATTATTTCCTAGAAATTATTCAATTTTATTTAAATAATAGGTATAATATATCATTTAACTTAATTGAAAATAATTCATATAAAAATAATCAATAAAATATATTATATTTATATTACGAATATATATTGTATGTATATTTTTATTAAATCTAATTATTGTATAAATTATTGTATAGATTGTAGATTTTCTTTTCTTGATAAAAAAAAAAAAAAAATGTATATATAATATGTACAATAGTAAAAGTACATAATATAGTACTAACGTATTATATAGATAAATCGTCAATTTATTAAATAATATATTGTATTTTTATATTAAATTTTTATAAATTTAAAAAAAGCTTGAATGACAGTTATTCAAATTGATTCAGATCTCTAGATACGTTAGCCAATAAAAATACATTATACTGTACCAATTACACAAGTTTTAAATTTGAATGGCTCTATTCAGTGGAGCATCTAAACTTTAGATTCTAAAGGGAGGAGGTTTGAGCGTTCTGACCTATTCCCTCGAAATATGTAGTTAATTCAACCTTACCTTATTCTTCCCGCCGAACACCTACCAAATTTATTTTATTTTCAAATGTATAACAGCTCCCCCACCTCAAAAAAATAGATATTAGTTACAACTTTGGAACTATTAAAGTCTTTAATCCAAATTAAAGTATTAAATACTATTCTTATTTAGGATTCTGACTGAAATAAATAATGTATCGGGTTTCAACATGTGTTTTTTTTTGTGTCCATGTACACGATTTTCACCAGAAGTACTCTGATCATCATCGAACAAAAATTAAAATATAAGAAATGGATTTTACTTGGTATTTTTAGGAGGTCTGGTTTTGAATTTCTTAACCAGTTTTTATAATAGCTGCGAAAAACTGAAGAAAAGTTATAAAAAACGGCCACGCTTACAGTGAACCGGAATTTCACATTGTTCTTCAAAATTTTTTTTTTTATCATAACTTACAAAAAATAACCGTAGACTTGACATTTTTCTGAATGATTGTATATAGATAATATAATTTTAAAATATTCGCATGAGCTATACACAAATAATTTAATATTTCATGTTTCAAAAACGTCGTCAAAATAATTTTTGTTTGACAAAAAGTATTGACAATATAATAAATGTTCTTTATACATATCTATTATCAATAAATAAAAGCTTAATTTTATAAAGAAAATTATGAATATTTAAACATTATATTTTGACAAAACAATATAAACACAATACTATTTATCAGTATTGGGCAAATCGGAATTTGAAAAATGATTCAAGATTACGATTACAATTTTTAGCTATTAATCATAAGATAAATGTCATCGCAAATTATGTAATTAATAATGACATTTAAAAATTAATTTAAACGATTAAAGTAATAAAGTAATTATAGTCTTAATTACGATTACAAAATAAGTTAATTAGTAATCATGAATAATTTTAAATGATTTATTTAAATATATTTCAACAACAATTCGGGCTGGATAATAACTTTATTTAGAAATAAAAATTTAAAAAATATACAGTTTATTGGCTGATGAGGTATATTTATATTATATTTATTGGTTACAAGTAGGATATTGTAAAAAAAAAAAAAAAAGAGCATTAAATTAAATTTATTATGGGAAAATAATGATTATCAATATAAAAATTAAAAAAAAACTATTTTTTTAATAATTGATAACAATTTTTGATAAAGCGACCACTAGCTCGAGATACAAAGTCCAGAATTTGATATATTAAAAGTATAAAATCTTTTTTTTTAAATATCGGTCTTCTATGCATCTCAAAGAAATTATTGAATGTAAAAAAAATTCATAATTTTGCTTTCGAAGATTTTTAGTACTTTTTTAATTTTTAATTGCTTGACAGAAGTTTCAATTATTTTATTTGTTGATCCAATTAATCTCAAATGATTTTCATATTCCTCAGCAGCATCAGAGCCATGTATATTTTTTAAATGAATAACAAAGTTAAATGACAAATGTTCATAACAAACATGTTCTACAATTTTCGGCTCACATTTGACGCATTGAACCATAGTTTAATTTTGAGATTCGTATGATTTTTCAGAAAAAATTTAAAAAAAAATTACCATCAATTGATCACCAGAGTGGTGATGGATAATCTGATGCTGATGAATTTCTATTGCTTTCTGATACAGAAGTTTCTTCACTGTCACTAATTGTAGTATAATACGTAGGTATACAAATAAAATTGTCTTCGGAATAGAAGGGAAAACAACGAAATGCAACATGTATATTTAGCAACTAAATCCACACGATTTTTTAGTGTAAATTTACAGATAAATTCGGATAAAAATGGAGTACATGCAAATATACGAGTAGTTGTAGCTTTTTGACCGGTAATAAGTGTCACGGAGCTTTAAAATGTATAAATATTTGACGTTTTGTAAACTCTTAATTTTAATAATATATAGTATATTACTTAATACCAGATTGTAGTTACGCAATATTTTTGGCAACAATGATTAACAATTAAACAAATGTAATCATGACTACTCTGTTCATTTTAAAATATGATAAACAATTAATAATTAATGTTGATAATTTAATAAATTAATCGTAATCGATTTCGTAATTTAGTGATTGATTAATCGATTACATCCAACTTTGACAATCACCCATCGTTCTGTTTTATTTTCATAATACTGTAATGAGTTTGAAACGAGTTTCACCGTATAAAATAACTTATAATTTGATTCTTCATGCCTTTTGTCCTATTCTATTGAAATATCTTACCGAATAACTATAACGATGACCGTGCGTATGATGGCAGAGAATTTTTGGACCCACACTAGTAAAAGCTCCGTTACCGTTATTTACCAAAACATGTTTGTGCGCCGAATATCGGTACGGTTATTTTAAAACATTTAACGGGTGCGTTCATTTATCGTGTTGAATGATCGTTTATGATAACATAGATTATCGAAAGTTAATCAAAAGTTAATCAATGTTAATGAATTTAGTCATGTGTGGTCAATAAACATTTTATACAATTTAACGTATAACATTTATACATAATTATTTCTTTTATCGCAACCGTTTTTTTTCTTTTCATTTTTACGTTTTTTTTTTTTTTTTTTTATTGAAACTTTGTAGGTTTACAATTTATTTCAATATTTACAGAATAAAATTGATGTAAGTTAGAATACTAAGACATAAATTTCATTTAAAATAATTTAGATATAATTAAACGGATAGACCAGTCTCACGGATAAATGATAATCGAATTATAACAAACTCAGAATTGGAATTAAAAATAGAAGATCGAGTTAGTTGGATATTTTGATATTTTAAAAAATTAAAAAAAGTTAAACGATTAGAGGATAAAGAAGGGCAGCTAAAGATAATATGGGAGAGGTCGCAAATAATCTCTTCAGAATGTTTAGAACAGTAAGGAGAATCGTTTAGAGAGAGTTTGTAGGGATGGAAAGGAAGTAGATAATGACCTACCCGTAAACGGCTAAATCGTGAAATCGAGTTTCTGGATAATTTTTACGTTATAGTATTTAATTTAATTTATTAAATTCATAAACATTTAACCGCCGTCGACGATGACCGGACACGAATATTATTTCTGAACGACAGTGGATTCATCGACAAAAACGTACCTATTCAACGTCCTCGGTAGTAATCTCTTCCGAACGTATCGACCGCGACAACTCGTTCGTATTGAACATTTGGCGTAAATGCGCAACAAACGAATAACAATGCGAACGATAAGAAATGAATAAGCACGCGAACATAACGGAATTGTTCGGCGTACCGCGCGTGAGTTACGGCCGGTACCTAATGGAAAAACTAATCTTTCGGCCGTTTCTAACCTAACGATGCTTTTACTTACCGTGGCAAAAAGAAGAAAAGGACAAAGACTGCGGCTGCCGTCCGGACGACCAGTCGTACGTAAGCACGTGCACTACGCGGAACGCAGTCCGCGGTGCTTGCGGTCGATCGCGGTGCCGCCGACCGCGGGACAGAAGCCGTACACGTACGAGTCGGGGTCGGAAACGGCGCGGTCTGCTTCCACGTAGTAGCAGCGGCCGCTGATGACGCCGCCGCGGCACACGATCCCGTCGTCCACGGGCCTGGCGTCGGCCTCGTGCCATCGCCGCCCGGCCACGGTCTTGTCGACGATCCGGCGTACGGTGTCCGGCGTGAACGTCCTGTACCGCAGCGCGTACCACTTAGCGCACGACATGGCGTCGTACACGAACTCGTGGCACGCGACCGGCGCGCTCATGGTGCGCTCGCCGTACCGCACCGCCGTGCCCGTGGCCCGGTACACCTGTCCGCGGACCGCAATCACGCGGCCGTCTAGCATGGTGCCGCCGAATTGCCAGAGCAGCACCAGCTGCACCGCGAACTTGGCGAACCCGGGGCTCTTGCTCAGATCCATGCCCTGGAACGGCGAACAGTCCAAGCACTCCTTCAGGTCGACGTGCACCACATTCAACCGGCTCGTGCCGTACGCGGCCCGCAGGTGGGCCAGGCTGGACGACAGCGACACCTGTTTGGGAAAATGTCAGACGTGGTCAACAGGTTTTCGCGCCAAATATATATATATATATATATATGTATGTATGTATAATTAAGGGCCGGTGCTGCTCGATGCGTCCAATGCTTTCAAACGTTGGCCACCACGATAGTGTCGTGTACGTTGTACGTCGAACGACAAATGTTTGCGTCCAGTTGGTTGCAACCAGAGTTTGGCACGTATGGCCTAACGATGTGACATGTGTCTTCCTGTGTATCCAGTGTCTTCGATTGGAATCATGACAATGTGAAGTATTTTTAATATTTTTTTTTATTTTTTTTTTTTTTTTAGCATTTACTAGTCATTACTTTAATCGATAACTGGTAAGTATTTTTTTTTTTTTTGTTTTTAGTATTTTGTAATCAATATCAATAATAAATTTTATAACGTAAATGCACATGAGTTATAGGGACTTGAAAAATTTCGATTTTAATACATTATTTAATACAATGTTGTGTTTAATGGCTTCTATTCTTATACAGAAATACGTTTTATGATATCTATAGGATTGTAAAATTACAATGGCAGCAGCTGCAATCAAGTAGTCCATTTTCTTTTCCAACTACTTTTTTAAAGTAAATTAATTTCACCCCAGGAGTGTATAAATTCACACACGCAGATATACACTGGAGGGAGATATGCATTCAAAATTTCAACATGACACTGGATCAAATGTTCAATCAACGATTGCGCGTCAATGTTGGAGTCCACGTTCGGCAAATCGTGTAGCACCGCGCCTTAATATCTGCTGTCGTCTAGCGTGGTGTTTTGTCATAACCTATGTTTTCGATGACTGGGAAGTGCACTTAAAAACTGAACTCGTTCACGTTCGAATCCCTTTTTTTTTTTAAAAACGTTTCGTTCTTATTCAGACGTATTAAAAGTGTTACGTAATATAATATTTGAAATTATTAATCGCTGTATTTTATATTATAATTACTTGTCCGACGAATTAAAAAAGTATTGCTGAACCGTACCAGTTATACATCAGCACTAATAAAAGCGGTAGTAAAACAATGCGAAATCAGTTTTATTCTACCCGTCATCGGATTGTTTCCGAACACCGCAAAACACGTTATACCGTTTGTTGCGTGCGTTCGCTAAGTAAAATAATCCGATGAAAACGCGGTCCCGATTTTTACCAAAGCCGCGGCGAACGCGACGGGGAAAAATCGAATCGACGCGCGCGCGCACCCACTTACCGGGCGTTGTTTGTCGAGCACGGGTCGTTCGAACTCGATGCCGAACACGACGAACACGTTGACGCGACTCCGGTTGTCCACGGTACGCAGAACGGACTCGAGCGAGCACGCGAACAGCACCGGTACGTGCGTGTCGTTGGCCAGCACGTAGTGCACGTCGCCGGCGCTCACGTCCTGCAGCGCCAGCAGCCGGGACACGCGGCGGTTCGCGTCCACGTAGCCCAGCTGCTCCAGCGAGAACAGATCCTTGGACACGATCGAGCAGTACTCGCGTGTGGTCACGTTGATCACGGCGCGTTTCTGCACGTGCAGCGCGGACGATGGGCCCGGGGCGACGTCGCAGGATTGCGGCGGTGGCGGCGGCACGGGCGAGCACACGTCCAGCGCCAGGTACGTGAGCGCGATCATGACGAAGACGACGAGCGAGACGAGAACGGTCCACGCGAAAAGCGCCGTCAACTGGTCCGCGGGAATGGCGCCCCAACGGTTGGTGAAATCGTCCGCGAACGATCCCCGGTGGTTGTGCGAAGCGCGCGTTGGCGACATCGAACGCAAGAACGTTACGAATACGCCTTACTGACGTTTTCCGCTGGTTACCAAGCACATGCCGCCGGGTGGTCTCGGACGATCCGTGGTCGTCACACTACGGGACGGGTGGCCATGGGTAGAACGAGTGAAGTGTTGAAACGTTGCGCAATGAACACTTTGTGCGTGAGCGTACGCGTCTGTCGGTGTTCGGCCGTCGATGTTTTGTAAACTTTACGGGGTCGCCGGAGCAACCGTGGTCGGACGGACGACCAATAGTACCGCGCCGTGTTTCGCTGTAAAGGTACGTTTTCCTATTACCGCGTTTTTTTTTTACCGACCACGTGTATCACGTCGGCGTCAGCGAAACGTATTATAAATAACGTTTGTTTTCCTACAAAACTAGTGGCAGCGCGTCGAACAATTCAGTTGATTGCTATGTATCGTATACTGTAATTGATAAAGGCGATTATAACGAGTAATTATTCAGATCATAATATAATCTGAATAATCGTGGAACACTATATTAAAGTGTTTTACGATAGTTAACGAATTCGATTAGCCATTCGTCGTCGTCGTCTGAAAAACGAACGTTCGGCCCAACAGAACTATTTATTTTTTTCATATTATTACGTAAAAACAGATACGGTATCAACAATAATACATTAATACTATAGTTTAATTTTAAAAAATGTTCGAAAAAATAGCAAATCAAAGCAGGATCAAAACCAACAACTCGTAGAACGCTGCGCGCAACGCAATAGACTCTGCCACCAAGCTTATTGCGCCGACTAGGGGCTGGAATCGAACCCAAAAGAAACAGTTCTGGAACTCAAGGACCTTTAAAATATTGGGAACCGAAACCGAATTTTTTACATATTCAAATAACCGGAACCCTCATTATAAAATGAAAAATATCGGATGTAACAAACATTATTGATTATGTTTTTATTCTTAAAAATTCAAAGCACAAATCAATTTCTGAGATATAATTTTTTAAAAATTTTATTTTTAATATTATATGCTGACAGACGGACGACTAAAGGCTAAACCGATTAATACTCCAATTTCATCAATACGAGGGTTAACTCAATGGTGAATTAGACAACATACCTATTATGTATAGTTAAAACTTAATTTAATTTATACATATTACTGTTCTTCGACATGTACAAACTGTTTTTGGCCAAATAAATTATTATTATTTATTATTATAGATACAAATTTGAATCACAACATAATGAGTTCAAAAATGAAATTTTATTTTGCATATTTTCTCATATTATTAAATTGTATATTTAGGATAATATATATATTATACTATAATACTATAATATTAAACTATACTATATAGCTATTAAAAAAAACTTATTGCGATATAAATTAGTCGAAGAGTGTCACTTTGAGACATTTATTTTCATATATTATGCCATATTGCATAGTATAATGCCATGATACCGATAACATATATGTAATTTTTAAATATGTATCAAAAAATACTACGGAATAAATTTAAAAATTTTTTATTTAGAACCCTATAATACCCGAACCCTTATTTTGTATTTTTCAATAACCGGAACCGGAACCCGAACCCGAACTCTTTAATAAAATAATTGAAACCCGGAATCGGAACTGAATCCGTAGAAACTTAAAGGTACCAGTCCTTGGCGCTGACACGGAACGTGCGTTGCGCTCCGTAGGAAAACAGTGTGATAAATTTCAAAAGAACAAGTAGATGACGAACTGCGTCAAGCGTATAACGTCATACTCGACGCGAAAATGGATTCCTAGGAAAATGAAAGTAGTCCCTAAGGCCTCCACCCGCTGACGTTTTCGGCCGACGGGTCTAACGGCGGTGACCATCGAACAAATGAACGTACCCGAGCAGCGGAACGAACCAGGTCATTGGTGTTTGCGAACGCACGTTTACGTATCACCTTCGTGCCTTTTTTTTTCTTTCTTTCCCTTCCCGGATGATACGACAACGAGTTCGCTACGGGTTTGACATACGCCAGGAACATGGGCGCTTGTACAGGAATCCGTTTGACGGGACGACAAGTGTTTAAAAATATGCACGTGACGTCATAGACCCGACGTCCGAACGGTGCACGTTTGTACCTGTTGTCTAGACTCGTGCCACGATAATTTAGACGTTTAATTTTTTTTATTTTTTTTTCAAACCCAAATGTGTTCATGACGGTAATAGTGCGGGTTTGGTTCCATTGCGCACACATCGATTTTGTCCGTACGATTTTTCATCGTCAACTGTTGCTCGCGTCCCACACAATTTTTTCTCGTAGACGTTCTTAACCTTATCACTGTTTCTTATGCTCAATCATTCTTACATTAAATTTTATTTTAAAAAAAAGTTGTCTATTACGGTATAGTGTTTTTTTATTGTACTTTTGTCTTTTACCGAGCGTTTATCGTTGCGTTTCGGTACTTGTACATGTCTAATGTCTTGTCCCATATAACTTGGGTCTCAATTGCACCGATGACATCAGAACTTCATCATAAATGTATTCACTCGTTTCTGTGCGAGAAAAAAATAAAACTTCACTAAATCAAAAACTGACCGTACGTCACTGCGAAACATGATATAAAGGCAATAAGAAAAATCGCGCCGAATGTTTGCACAAACAAAAAAACGAAAAACACGCCCGCATATACACACACGCATACAAGCACGCATACATACAAAGACATACAACAATAGTGATTTACAGAGCCGTAACTAGGGTGAGGCGAGCGAGGCACTTGCCTTGGGCGCCAGAATCTGGGGGAGGGAGCAAAAATATTAAAGGATCAACTTAAGAAAAAGTATTAATTATTGTGGGTACCTGCTTTATACCACCTACATTATATTTGCTGACACAAAAGCAAGGAAAATTAAATTATAAATAATAATTGTTTTAAATTATTTTATTATTACTAACTATTTTTTTCAAACATCTAATAATTTGCAAATATCAAATTTATTTATTTATCATAATATAAGAAGATAATAATTAATAATTATATACTTTTGGCTAAAAATTATTATTGGTATTTCTTGTTTTGCTAAAAACCTAATTACAATTTTTCAGATTTTTCCGAATCGTATTTTACATATTAAAAGTTGTTAGTATAACAACCCTACAACCTAGGGGGCACATTGCTTCAGTTCTGCATCAGGATAAAAAATGGATCGGTACGACTCTGTTTACAAAAATAAACATATGTACAAATTTTCAGCTCGGGTTCAGTATATTGTTATAGACGTCACGTTGTGACACATAATACAAATTGAATATACAGTAGAGTATTCGCATTAATGTGACAGAGGGAGTTGCGGATTAATCAATGATTATTCTGCATGTACTTATAAGCAACACAAAATTCATTAAAATAAGTTGAAACTATGAAATGCATTGAATTAAATAATTAATAACGTTTAATAAAATCGTCAATTTTGTCTACAATGTTGTAATGTTTGTGAATCATTTTAGCGAATTTCTAATAAATTCTTCTTTTTTTTTTTTTTGGCTCCAAAGAAAATTATATGAAGTATTCTAACATATAAAATTATAATCATATACATTTTTTAAATTTAGCTTATGGTTAAAAGGTTATTTTATGTAATTTTTATTATTTTCTAAAATGTTTAAGTTATTTAAGCTATAATTCTTTACTGCAACATGTATTCAATTTACATACAATTATTTCTGTTATTTAATATAACACCATTGTTTATAAAACAATCAATGATAATACTATAATTAAAGACCGGATATAATTGCATTAAAAATATCTTAAAATTACACTAAAAATATGCCAAAATTGCAATAAAAATGTATCAAAATTGCAGTATAAATATGTTAAAATTGCAATGAAATACATTAAAATTACATAGTAAAATCATATCAAAAATATAATCATTAATTACTTACTTAAATAATATTATGGGCATTTATATAATATTTACAAAATATATCATTTTTCTGAATTAAAATTTATAATTATATACATCTCTAAATTGTGTTCTTGAAAATTGTATCGTCTGTTGCTTAAAATATGTTTATATAATGAAAAAGTACGTTCAACGTCGACACTTATTATCGATGCATATTTAAAATAGTTTATAAATTAGGTGTTATATCTAAATAAACATTTTGATTTCTTGCCATAACCTCAGAGTAAGTTTTAATAATTTTATATCCTTCATTTCTTTCTAAGACATATTTTAATTTATCTTTAACTATTTTTCCATTAGGACCGGGAATATTTATAGAAATACTTAAACTAAATATTTTTATTTAGTATTTGTTTAGTATTTATTTATTTATTTATTTAGTATTTATACTAAATATGTTTTAACTATTAAGTAATTGACTATTTTATTCTTCTAAACTTGTGAGTTTTGTGGATACCCCAGATAAATATAATTTTAAAAATCCTAAACTACATTTAACTACATGTAAAAATTTACATCGTAGATATATTTTTTTTTGTAAAATCACTTTGGAAATAATAATTTGTATATTTCATTACGTGAAATATACAAAAATTGCAATAATTGCAAAAAATTGGAAAATCGTTGAAAATTGCAAAAAATTACATTATTAAATTAAATTGGAAGACTGTAATTAATCTGATTCCTATACATAATTGATCAGATTTGATTTATTGGGTATCAATAAAAAGTTGCAATATCAATTAAATCTGCTCTTTAACTATAATAGAAAAATTGCATTATATTCGTTTATTTTTACTATACGTACTATTTTTGTTTTTTATTAATACCAAATGTATTATATTATATTATTCTAATTTAAATTCTTAAAAACTGCTCCCCCAGCACAAGTTTTGCTTTATCGAGGGTGCTGCATAAATTGTATTTTTAATTTTTATATTTTAATATAAAATCTATGACTTTGCTAAATATACATATTATTATTATTTTAAGTATAAAAATCAAATATTTAAACACTTGTATAATTTTTTAATTTTTGTTTTAGCTATTATCTTACTGTTATTTGTTTTTCTATTTTTACTTATATATGTATTACGCTAATTTTTTGTTGTCTTCAATTGATCTTTCTTTCTTTACTGTTGTCAGAATTTATTCATATTGGAGCTCTCCATGGGCCAATTTTTTTTTAAGTCTAGCCCGGTCTATATTCCGATATGAAAAAAATGGCCCATTAAAACCCTCCATTGTTCTAATCTTTGAAACCCAAACACTCCTAAATTGGAAATTGTACAGTAAAGCCTACCCAGCCCTGAATAGGCTAATAAAATCCTCAGCATAGTCTGGCTTAGTGAAAGCCCAACCGGGCTCAGTGAAGATCCTTATAATGATAAACAAACAATAATTCTTATAATATTCATCTTTTCAACATTTATTATTCAGTAAAAACAAATCTATATTTACATTATATGTTTTCATCGAACAAAAAAAAAAAATCACTGTTCATCGTCAAAAAACTCTACCAACAGACAGCCATTTTCGTACGCGTAGTCCACACAATCGACAAAACCTCCACCGTAAGCTGCCTCGAGAGTAGCTCCATTCCAAGGACATCCGTTGTCATGAGCGTAAATCAGACAACCCAGGTGACCCCGCCTGGCGGCCCCGAAGCACGTGCGCTCGTCCCACGGGCAGTGGTTTTCGTGTGCGTACCGTAAGCACTCCAGGTGCCCACTGGCCGCGGCCAGGTGGCACGTGCGCTCGTCCCACGGGCAGCCGTTCTCGTACGCATACTGCAGGCACTCCAGGTGCCCGGACCTCGCGGCCTTGGAGCACGTGCGCTCGTCCCACGGGCACCCGTTCTCATGCGCGTACCGCAGGCACTCCAGGTGGCCCCACTTTGCGGCTCGGTAACACGTGCGTGCGTCCCATGGACAGCGGTTTTCGCGCGCGTATCGCAAGCACTCCAAGTGTCCGCCTGTCGCGGCGTAGTGGCACGTGCGTTCGTCCCACGGGCAGCCGTTCTCGCGCGCGTACCGCAGGCACTCCAGGTGACCGGATCTCGCGGCCTCGGAGCACGTCAGCTCGTCCCACGGGCACCCGTTCTCGTGCGCGTACCGCAGGCACTCCAGGTGACCCGTGCTCGCGGCTGCAAAGCACACGACCACGTCCCGGGCGCAGCCGATCTGGAACGCATACTCCAGGCACCCGGTGTGGCCTGCCAGTGCGGCCTTAATGCTCAGGTTCTCGTCGTCGGGCCTTCCGTACGCTTGCGCGTTCCTCAGGCACTCCACGTGTCCGTTCTGGATGGCCAGCACACATATAGTGCTGTAGTCGACGGACATTGCCGAATCGCTGCTGCCTGACTGTTCCTTCGTTCTGTCCAGCAGCGCAAAACAACAGTTTTTGCTGTCGATCATGGGCACTTCGTAATCGTAGTACCGCCGTTTTTCGTCCTGGTCCGTGTGCATGTACGCCAGTTTGGCCAGCGAAAACATGACGTTCTCCTCGTGTCTAAACACGGAAAACCCACCGTTGTACGTCCGACGGTAACCACGTTATGTGCACGCGCGAACCTAACCGTACGGCGATCGTTTCGTCCATTACACCGTTTTTTTCATGTTCAACGAGAACGAAATCCACGCCGAAGCGCGTGCGCACGAGAAATGTTGTCCGCCCATCGTAGGTACGGTGCACGTGCTATCGATACTTGGTGAAGTCCTGATCAAACATTCAGCGGTCAAGGGGTCGGTACACGGTTGTGGGGGCCCCCGCTGAGGAATACAATTTTTCGAAATCGTAAAAATACACGATAAAAAGAGAATTTCGACAAATCCCACAAACCCGGCCATTCGCCCGGATTCGTATTGGGAACCACACGTGATTTTTTCTAAACAATTTTTATTAAAATTAAAAATTACTTTAAACAAGTTATTATGACATCACCATGATGAGTGATTACGTCAGAAGACGAAAATTAAAAAAACATTCACGGAGTGCAGTAGCCGATTACTACGGTTAAAAGGTCGAAAGGGATCTCGGTGGTTGTTGACGCTCACTAGTGTGTATGAACCTTTGATTTTCTCTATGGTATACACTTGGTAATAGTTATTAAGATTTTTAAACAATTATTATGGTCTGTATTTAGGACCGCATTTAAGATTTTGTTGCCAGGTACAAATTAAATCATTCACCGCCCCTACTTCTAGGGCCTATTACAGGGAAATATGTTTGGGTATATGCCCCTCCTCCCCGTGACAATTTAAAATATACTCTTTAATATAATAACTTTCAAAATTTATAAAACAGGAATAATTTAATGAAACAAAAAAAATAAATTATGAATTTTAACATTTTATCCTCATAATATATTTATATATACATTAAAATATAATAAAATAATCATAATTTATAATTTTCTAGCACTTACCCTATAACGTATAATAGTAAACTCATTTACACTTCACTGAAATTATATAAATCATAACTCATATTATAATATATTAGTTTTCTCGAGAAATGAATATATTATTATTAATAAGTGATTTTATCAGTGGCGTATTTACAGGAGGGTCCAGGGGTACTGGACCCCCTCCCCAGAACCTTTCCAAAAAATAAAAAATAAACTAAAATTCTTACATGTTTGCAGAATTGGCTATGCTAAACATTCACAAGGAAGTTGAAATTACTGTTGATGAAGTGATACAGGAGTTGGCTAAAAAATCGAGACAACTAGAATTTATTTTATAACAATACTTTATAATTTATAATGCTAAATACAATATATAGGTATATATATATATATAATATTACATAAGACTATACGATTATTACATTATATATTTAGTTCAACTTCCTCCAAAAACTGCATAAGGACGTAACTATTACAATATAATATATAGTTTATATTAATTATATATAAACTGTGGACCCCCCCTCAGAAAAAATTGAAAATACGCCACTGGATTTTATAATAATGTTATTATAAAGTCAATGTCTGAATCATAAATGGAATCAGTTATCACACGGTAAAATAATATTAGACGAAATCGAATAATCCTTGGTGACTGAATAATATAAACAATGAACAGTGATTATCAATTATCAATGCGGCATCCGCGTTATGTTTAAAGGATAAAAAGGTTTTAAGCAATTAAATTATTTGTTTTTCTTTTCATCATAATTATCAAAAATTATTCACACTTTGTACCTCTTTATACTACCGCTCCTCAAAACTATAGCCACCCTCAAAAAATTGGCCACCCTATACAATTCTACCCGTTGTACTCCTCTACGTAAATGTGGCCCTGTCTTTATTCTCAATGACTTATAAAAACATTATTATTATAAATACATAATTGTGGTACATTATATAACTTTTTTTCTAACTATAAATAAAACCATTGCATTTTTATTTATGTAATTAGATTATCAGAACTATAGTAATATTACTGACTAGTATTTAATGATAATGTAAGTTATATTAAATATTTCGTAAATTATAGAAAAAATACGTATTTTTATGTAAATATATGAGAGTAACTACTTTGACTGAAAACAAATATGTCAGGTATGCCAGTTAACCAAGTAATAAGAGCAATGCCACAGTAAATCGTTAAGAAATATTATTTAATAAGTGTTTTATACAATTTTTAATAGTCTAATTAGAACTTACCCTATATTTAAATTTGTATGCAGTTCTGTTAAACAGTAGCTTTATAAACTATTACAAAGCAACAACACTGCAAGAAAATCTCAGTTTTTCGTTCCACATATAGCAGTAATTTTCATTCAACAACTTTCTTGACGAAGATACGAAAATATGAAACAAATGTATAAAACTACGATATATTTGTGTACTATTTTTTCTAGAACAATATTGATTTTATTTATTCCTTCACATGTGGTAACCTAGGATGCATTAATTAGCGAAAAATATTATATACATATAAAGTAGACAGTTATTAAAATGATAATAATACTCCTTGGTATACACTTTTATGTAGATATTATTGTATAATAACTGATTATTTTAGATACCTACTTAGTTAAGTAAAAGCCATTTTATGATCATTGTACCAAACAAAAATTATAAAAATATACGATTTGATCAAATAAAAAATACGAATAGTAACTCTGGACTATAATTATTCGAATGTAATAAATATTTTCACATATACTGTACAAGCCGCTCGTTAGGAATACTTTTACCCACGTGAAATATTTCAATTAACCGATTGTTTCTACTAGACGATTGCTTATTGTATTAATTTAATTATAATTTATATATATAAATAATATACACACATATTTATTACATAAAATTAAAAAAATATATATATAAAATAACTCACCACTAGTGATGAGCAAAATTGGTTATAGTCTTGCAGTTATTTAGTTGAAACACAAATTTAGTGGTTGGACTTCGTATAATTCAAAAAACGAATAGAACCTCATCGTTGGACTATTCCATGTTTTTTTTTTTTTTTTTTAGTTTAGTTTGGTTATAATCAAATATTATAAATATTTTATTATTTATCATATTGCTAATCAAATATTTTAAATTAAAAAAAAGAAAAAAACCAAAAAAAAATGTATATCAATGTCGAATGTGTAATCAAAATGCACACAAAATGTAATAAAATAAAAATTCACTATTTTATACAATACAGGCTCGCCAAATTGCTGTTTAAACGCACGGCTCGTTTCCTTTGACTCGGAATCAATAGACCGACAGTTTTCGAATAGCCAAGAGCCTCGCCGAGCTATACCGCGCCTAGGTGAGCAAGAGCGTTCCCACGTTGCATGTAGTCAGGGCCTGCGCTATCTTTTGCGAGGCCCTGAGAAAAACGAACTTATTTTACCAATAACCATAGTCACCTGTAGACCTGTAGACCGTATTTAAATACGATAATATGTAAGACTCGGTGACAGCTGCACGCCATATCGGGTAATAACTAAATTTAAAAAATGTATTTATTTATTTATTTCTTAAATAAATTTAAGAAATGCGATAAGATAAACTTTCTAGGTATCCCGGTTTTCATAGCATGCGGCGTGCCATACGGGTAGTTGTTTGTGCATTCATAACATAATAAATATAATATAATATTGTTTTGTTATATACAACGGGTTTCTCAAGAAATCGCACTCGCCAGTCGATTCACGATTTTCTCGTTTTATTTTATGAGATTTCCATACAAAATATTTTTCAATCAAATTTTAAGCGTGAGGCTCTGGGAAAATACCCCATTTTGTCTCCCCTAATGCCGGCCCTACGTGTAATATACCCAGCCAGCGCATTTGACTCGTGGCTTGGCAGAAACCGCCTTTAATCATTGAAAAATGTGTACAACAAATAAAAATAGTAATATAGTATAACATCGCCTACAGCAGAATTATCAGGTGAGTGAGCGTTCAATACATCATTAATACGACCATATTACTGTTATAGCGCTTAGAATTTTCTATTTTCGTTCATATAATCGTATTACTATTTTCTAGAGTTGTATAAAATATGTTTACAGCAGTAAACACACTGACACAAAATCGTGTTTGTTGTACACCCGTATGGCTGTATTATAATTTAGAACCATTAGATTATTAAATTTGATATTAATAGTTTTAAATGATCTCGTTGTAAACTATCGAGCAATTTTTTTTTATAATTCTATCGTCTGTTCGTCTTTTGTATGCCGTAGTCATAGTCCCGTCAACTGTTAAGTAAAATTGACTGAAAAACAAACGGATTTGATTTTTTTTCTTTAATTTATATGGTTTGAGAGCACATAAAGTGAAGTGGTGCTGAATGTTTATACTAAATCTTAATAGTTCTACTATATTAAAACTGCCAATCTTACGATTCATTTATACGATATTTTTATATTTATAAACAACATATAAATATATTATAAATATATATAAATATAGATCAATTAATAAATTTTAACGCTGTTCTTATGTATACGATTTAATGATAAATACAACGGTACAGTAGGTTTTTAAAAGGCGATATTTTAAAATCTGCCCCCAGGTAGCATATTCGTTAACCTGTCACTGATTACCTTTGAAAATAATTGTTCAAAATTAAAGTTATATACATATATATATATATATAAATATATTTTGTAACCATGAGTTAATCATTTTTAGAAGAACAGTAGGTCAACTTATAAATATAATCACTCATTACATTATATACATCTCAGCCGGAACAAGAAGAGCATATTATGAATAGAGATAGAAAAATATTTTATTATACTACTTTTACATTAACATGTAAACAATAGTTATATTAAAAGTTTTTAATGTACCTTGCATGAGGTATAGATGTATTCAAATGTATCTTAACTATCCATTAAACAAAGCGCATGAGCTATATCTAAAGGGAAAATTGAAACAATGTCAACAATAGCATTTTATACAATATATACTGTATTATCATTATTACCAATTACCATTTATAACTATTTAACTATTTTAGTTAAAAACAAAAACCCCTATATATTTAGTTAATTTGAATGTACATGAATATATTTTGACAATATTTTGTATAGAATTTTTTAAGTATAAAATAAATGCGTGTACACAATTAAAATCATTAAAATAGTATATTAAAACTTTTGTCGCACAATTTATGAATAATCGAATACCAGCACAGAATACTATTTGAGAAATAAAAAAAAACACACTTCTGTACGAGAATAAAACTAAAACAGTATAACTTAACTATAATATATATGTAAATAAAATGTTAACTTAAAATGTTAACTAATGGCTTAGTAGCCGATTTAATAAGATCAATAAAAAAAAATTAAAAAATCAACCGGTGATCGACATGTTATCCTTTACGTATTTTTGAATTTCATTGGTACTGTTTCTAATGAATCCTTTCATTTCATTCGGATTCCAAGGACAACCATTCGAATGAGCGTACTTCAGACACTCGATATTGGAATTAATTGCAGCTGCGTAGATGGTTTTCGCATCCCACGGACAACCATTTTCGAATGCATAGATCAAGCAGTTCAAGTGCCCACCCTTTGCTGCACTCTCAGTCGTCTTTTGGTCCCAAGGACTATTATTTTCATGTGCATACTTTAAAACATCTAGGTGTCCGTATTCCGCAGCAATGCAACATGTAGATTCATGCCATGGACACCCATTTTCGTAAGCAAACTTCATGCAATTTAAGTTACCTACTATTCCAGAATGAAGCATTACTTTCTCATTCCAAGGACATCCAATTTCAAAGGCATATTTTAAAAATTCTATTTTTTCCATAAACGCCGCAAAACTGCATATGTTTGCCTTGGAACAGGAATTTCCAAAAACTTGTACACCTATCAAGCAATCCATGTGTTCGTTTATTATAGCTGTAAAACATATAATGTTGTATTGATTTTGCGTAATTGTGGTGCCCAATTTTATTGTTCGCAACAATGTATTGCAACAGTAAGATTCCTTAATTATTGGGACACAATAACTGTAATACATAATTTTTTCTTGTGTATTCGTGTGCATATAAGCTAATTTGGCGAGAGAAAACATTTTTTCTTGATGTATGTCGGAGGTAAGACTACTGCAGTTTTCTAGACCCTGTCTCGAAAAAAAAAACAAGTATGTATTAACTATAAATCTAACATTGATTTTAATGATTTAAAAATCTAATAAAAATGGAATTTAATTATTTATTAATTATTAATTATTTGTCAGATACATTGACACTAGAATATATACTTAAAAGAACCTATAGACAATTACATTTGCATCGCTATTTATTGATATTTAATTAAATTTATTTATTTATTAAATTTTTGTATTCTGTCATATCGTTTTTCTTTTAATTAAATTTTACAATTACTTATAATTTCTGACGATGTGATGTCAGATGGATGTTGCCTGTGTCTGTATACTATATCGACATTTGTGTAGAAAAACCGCCTCTGAAATAAAAAATATCTACTAATTTAAACAATTAAATAAATATGACTATATGACATCAATAAAAAAAAAATACCAATAAAAACAAAAATGTATCCATAAGTATTTGAGAAAAGAATGACAAGATTTATTTATAAAATTTTTGTACGATTGAGTTAACATTGTCTATAGACAAAATTACTTTCTGACATTAAGACATAAACAATTGCACAAAACACAAATATATTCTGTATACTGATATTGTATTTAATGTTTAATTTTGATAATAATCATATGTTGAATTAACTCAAACAAAGAATAAATCTGGTAAACAATTAAAAATCAATCGATTTTATATATATTATATTGAACATAATTATTAATAATTATAATAATAAATATTATCGATATCAATAATGATTTGGCTGGCCATGAATAACATTATAACGGACTCAAAATCAGGCGAAAGATTATAAACACACAGAAAACGCAAAAATTGCAAAATGAACAATCTAAATGTATCTAAATCAAATCTAAATATCAATCTAAATTCATCAATAACATAATAAGTATTTATAACAAGGACTGTAGCCTTAATGATTTTAACGGTTCCGGTTAAGGTTTGGGTCTTTAAAATATTTTTTTAGGGGTTAAATTAGGTTAAATTTCGGGATTTCATAAAGTTCAAAATTTAGGTTCTGGTTAAAAACGGTTTAATTTTGTGTATTATTTTTACAAAAAAAATGTTAATACACGTATAGATTACATGTTACGTGTGGGATCACACGGCGTGTGGCGTGTCGCGAGGAGTGTGGAGCGTGTATATACCACGCAACAGCCCGCGCCAGGTTCCGCACGACAACTTGGCGCGCCTGTGTGATCAGACGGTACGTCATGGTTCAACAAGTTAGGCACGTCTCGTTCTGGAATCATCAACATGGTTCCGAATTTTGTGATATGGATCACTTGGATTCCATATAAATGGCTCATCTTCGTACATTTCTAAAAATTGTACAACTTGTTTATTAAACCATTCCATTTTATAGTGTTGTAATATAGTTACTAATTAGTACTATAAGTAGTGTGTAGGTATAATTGTATAAACCATGTCAAACTGATCAGTATTTTGATTGTTGATATACTAAAAAAGTAGGTATGAACTATGAAAAATATATCAAAAATTCAAATACTATAAATTTAGTTCAAATTTCAAAGTATGAAAAATGGTGAACAGATACATCGATAAACAATTAATACCGACGCGTCGTTAGATTGATAAGACGCGCGCCAAAAATTTTCCTTTGACACGTGATACAAACACCGACAATTGTCGGGAAGCAACGTGCGTCGCTCATTCAAACCTTAACGCGGTTAGGTTAACTGTACCACGTTATACCACTCCACACTCTTCACGACGCACCACGCGCCGTGTGATCCCACCTCAAGTATGCCCGTCGCAGCCATCTCGATCGATCAATTGTATTAAAATATTTCACAATAATTAAACCTTTAATAGAGTAGATTGTAAGTAGTTTACATATATGTATATAAAATATTGTTCACATATTACATGGATTGGTGTGCCACGAACATTTTGTTGTGATGATGTGTGTCGCATTGTTAAAAAGGTTAGTGGAAAACCACTGAACTAGTACATACTGTTTGATAATTTTAACTAAATTAACTTAATTAATATCATATTTATATTATTTCTATTTATCAATAGAGATTTTTTAAAATTATACAAAACCAAATCAATAATTAGGACCAGCAAAATGTTGCTATAATTATACAAAATTATAAAGTAAACACATTTAATCTTAAGCTGAAATAAAAAAATTAACTGTTTATAATATTTATTTTATATCATGAAATTATATTGAATATTATATAAAGAAATATCCTGATAGTCAAAAGAAAGATCTGTGACTTGGAAACGAACACTGTTAGATAAAGGTAATATATACTTTAGTCTTTAAGTCCATCATATTCTATACCCATTGATCAGCGCATATTTTAACCAATATACTGGGCGACATATTTGTCGCCTGGTAAATATTTTTTGTCACCTAAAAGATAATATCTTTAATTACTAGGCGATAACGATGTTTTAGCGAAAATTAAGATATTTTAATAATTTTATAATTTTATTTACTAGTCATTTATTATGCTTTATTTTGTTATTTGTTTGTCATTTCATTTAACGGTTTAAAATTAAAACATTAATTATATTGATAATCAGAATATTTATAATGGAAAACCGATAAAAACCATACGATATTGTATTATATTGTATGTATAAACCATTACGAGTTTGGATGGAGTTTCTAAGGTTTGAATAACTTTCTAACACGGACATTCTTTTTCCTTTAGGGTTTTCATAGTTTGTCGATGTTTATTTTATCGATTTTGATTATATGCATGGACATTTTTTTTTGTCGCCCAAAGAAAATTTCTTAAAATATCCACTACCATTGATACTGAGAGAGAAAAAGAAGCTTAACAAAAAAAATAACAATATTTTCAGAAAAAAATAGCATAAGACCGTCTGTCGGCTGTGACGGTCCCCAATATACGGGCGATGCGGCCGAAAATAACATTACTTAGTTATTACACTAATTAAATATAATATAATTTTTGTTTCTAAACAATATTTTTTTAGTTAAAATGTTAAATATTACTATTTATTTCTAATAGAGTGATTTATTTCTATTTGAAAACCGAAAAAACCCGTATTTTTTAGTTTTTTTCTTATAAGGAGTTCGCTTTTGGTCAGGGTTTTTTAAAAATGTAAAATACAGGTTACGGTTATTTTCGGTTCTTTAATATATACAATGTTATTGGATCTGTATCCAGTTCTTTTCGGTCCGGTCTCAGTCCCTGATTTACTATAAGTATAACCTATAAAGTGTACAAGGATTAAATTAAAAATACATGCAAAATACATACATTTCTTCAAAATATTATTTTGAAATTATAATATTATAATATATAATTTTCAAATTATTATTTTCCATTAATATTTTCATTTATTACCCAAGTAGCACAAGATATTGATAGTATATTTCATCAATCTTCCTTTTAATTATACCATTCATAATACGGAACAATATGAATAAGATATGCAATAGATAGTTTTTTAAGATTATTACAACTATCAATATTTTATTCCAAGTAAAGTAATATTTATAAAAGGATTTTAATTAAAGAATAATCCATAGATATTGTTTTACAGATAATAAAAAAATATTCATTATATAATATTATATTCCTGATCAGTTTATTACAGTGAATTTAATGAATATCCTAATGGTGATAATGGTATTCATAGTTTTGTCGGTTCGATACCACAGAATATTATTTTGTGACGATATTACGATGGACAAAGGATAATACTTTAAGCTAAACACTTATTTAAGCAGGTTAAGTTAGAAATATTATAAATAATACCACCAAATTTAAAAATGTAATTAGAGCATTTTAAAATAATTTTAATAACATTTATTAAAATGGAATTAATACTAATAATAATAAATTAACGGTGGTCAGCTGTGGTAACATGGCCACGACATAACATGGTATAGAAACTATAGTGATTATAAAATATTAGACGAAGGTCACCACAACGTGCACAACAACCACCAAAAATATAGTAGTAATTACGGTAGAAGTAGTAGGTACGCTTATGTATTTACCAATGGCAAACACCCGTTATTAGTCAACATATAGTTAGTACCCAAGTTTTAAACAATTTAAATACTAAATAGTAGTTTACCAAATTAATACATACACATAAACACGACACATAAGGTAGGGCTTTAGTCCCCTTACCCCCTCTTTTTTGGCTACGCCAGTATCCGTTTAAAGAAATACTCAAAAACATGTAAACTTCAAAGTGCTCAAACCCGCTATAATGGCGAAGTATGCAAAAGACTTTTGGAAAATCTAATCGGCAACATCTTATTAACAGTTTATGTTTTCACCCTAATATGCATATAGATCTAGTAATCGGTATCGGAAAAAAAAAAAACGCTCGCGTTTTAATGTATTTAAATAAACATTTATTTATGTGTTTCCCCGTTTAATATTGTATAATAATAAATATGTGTTCTTACGTATTTTCTTGGCGCAGTTAATGACGAAGGCGAAGAAGCAGATACAAACAATGACTATGGCACTTAAGTGAGCACGAGATTATGATCTTCTGGTCACGGTGGACAAATGGATTTCGTACAGTCGTACGATCAGGCACGCATGTACGGAACCGACTAAAAGACCCGTCCATCCATTCGTAGTACAGAATGGGAAAAAAAATAACGACGTGTAGAGTCGCAGTCGTAGTGGGGCGCATGATGGCATACATTTGCCTCGTGATGTAGAGGGGATTGGTGAGATATATGATATGAATCGTAAACACACACAGCATATACATGCGGCCTTCAATACTGTTCTCATATAAATTATTCGTGTTGTTTGTTGTTTTCTTAAATATGAAAAAAAAAAATTGTAAATGATTTATTATCTAAACCAAAATTTTTGGGCGTTTAATGTTTATATTACATTATTGTACAAAGTGTGTACAGATAGAATTTTACGTAGTTTATGTTTATTAATAATTAACAATTTACATAGGTCAATATTTCAAGACTTTACAACACAACAGGAACTATTCGATTTCTCGTACTATAGCTTATGGTTTTCGGGAAATGAAATAGTGTTCAATTTGGTATAATATTTACTATATACAGTAGAATCCGCTTATAACGATCTATAAGGGACCTAAAGAATCAGATCGTTATATCCGAAATTCGTTGTATCCGGTTGACAAAAACATTATCTACGTGAAATATAAAACCAACCAAATACATGGCTAGGAATCGTTTTAATCGGAATATCGTTATATACGGTAACGTAATAAGCGGATTCCACTGTATTTTTTAATTTTGTAGAATAAATTTATTTTAAAATAAAATGTGTTTAATTATGATTATTTTCCACTGTAAAAACTGTGATGATTAATCATACATGTTAAATGACGTGAAATAAATTGTAAGGATCACTGTTATCTTTTAGAGTTCTCATACAAATCATTACGTCGCACTACATTTTTTTTTTACTTTGGCGGATCGGGCATAAAAAATGCGCAACAAGCTAAAAAACGTTTTTATTATAAATTTTCAAGATATCTCATACGAGTATTCAATTTTAGATAACAATTTAAGTTTGAAATAATTTTCTGAAGATAATTGAATAAAAATAAATATTTTTCAAAAAATATATATGTACGTTTGTTATATTTACTAATCGCTTGTTAATAATATTTCTGTAAAACCACCTCTTTTCTCAATGCAACGATATTTTTTGTGCGCCTCGATTTTTGAATTCTTAGAAATCAGGAATATCCTGTGGTGTCAGCGGCACAAAAAACACGAGGGGTGTCTTTTAATTACGACGGCGTCGGAACAATAACCAGTTATTTATTTCCAGTCTTTCTTTTTAACATTTTACGGGGCCGAACAGTTTTATCCACATCACTTGACTTATGAAAATCATTGAATAAGTGAATTATTTATATTTATTGATATTTTACATCGAAATCGAATATAGTAAATGACTATCGATGATTTTTAATATACAAACGAACAAAGTTTAACGTAGCTACGGTGCTATCTACTGATAGTTTATTGGAGCGTAAGTGGTATTATGTGTTCTTTAACTTAAAAAAACACATATATTGAGTATACTAATCATGCCGTTTACATATGTATAGACGATAATGCACCGGAACCACAGTGTTAGTTTTATAATACTGAACGGGTTGTCATCATAATTATTTTAAAAATTATAAAATTGTTTTCAACCATTTTTATAATAATATCATTATAATAATCTTAAGTAATAAAAATCAATTTTACTTATAGTTTTTAATTTTTTCAAAGCGTATACATAAATAAAGTCAAATAAAAACTATTAACCTGAAAATATAATACATAACAATATACATTAATATACATGCATTTTTTATTCAATATAAAGAAATCGGTTTTTTAAAAGTTATTTATTTTTATGACTATTTCTCATGATAATATACACCATAATGTTGTTTGGTAGAAATGGTTTTAAGTTTTCTTTGAAGCCTCAAAAACTATTTCTTTTGCAGAAAATACAATTACCAATGTTTTTTTAACTAAATTAATTTAATTATATAAGTATTACACATTAGGTTGCCTAAAATTATATAATTAATTTTTGAAAAATACCAAAAACATTTAAAGTTATACACTTTACCAAGTCCATTATCTTAAAATATTTTGGTAAGTGGAATTATGTGTGCAGTAGCCAAATAATTATAGGAATTTTAGGCACTGGAACATACATACAAATGAAATATAATTAATAGGACACACAATAAAATATAATTTAACAATGAAGAATTTAATTTAAGACAGTGTACATGTAATATTAACATTTTTATTTATGTATTACATATTATTAACATAATACTTTCTTGAATGGTTGATAAAAGATTTCAGCATAGATTATTTAATAATTAATTAGCTGATTGACCATTTTCTATGTATTACTGTCTATCGGCATCGGCGTAATTAATGAGTATAAATTAAAAATACAGGTTTTGCTTTAAATTTCCGTTCTCCGAAAATATAGTAAAGATAAATCGACTTTTACTAGTTGGGTCCCAGAGACCCTTATTTAATCTTATTAGGTCCCAGTGTTTTTCAGGTAGAACACTAGTGGGATCCATAAAAAAAAAATTTTTGCTTCTCACTTTTATAGACTTAGGACTGCAAGTTACCTATAAATTAGAACACAAGTATAATTTTATTTTTCTAAGTTTCTAATATATAGTATATAATTATTAGTTGAAAACTAGAATACTGGTATATGGTATATAAATAAATAAAATTATTAAAAAATTAAAAAATATACACAATTAGTGAAAATTTAAATGATAGAGCTTTTACAAATTCAAATCTATTAATTTTTGACATTATCAAATGTATCAATTCTCATAAGTTACAGGTTTTATTGTCGTAGTGTCGGACCGAACTAGATATGTTACAGTTTTTATAGTCGGACCGATCAAGTATGTTATCGTTTTTATAATCGGACCCAATTAGTTGTTTATCTTTATCATAAATATTATCTGGGACCCAACTCGGATACGCCCAGATGAACACTGTATTTTTTTATTTATTTATATGAGATTAGTTTATGATATAACATTTTTAATATGGAAATTAATATACATTATTATTATTTAACACTAGGTAGGTCACACTTTATCCATTGTCGTATTTCCATTCAATAATAGTTTTTAAATTATTAAAATAATAATAATTTGGTTTTGATTTTAAACTCTAATTTAATGACTTCATCGAATTTTATGCCTCAATTTTCACTCGATATTTTGCGCTCCTGGTAGGCGTTCACTTTTCCAGGCTCTCTGCCTGGCCCTACGTGTCACGTGTAAATGCACGTTTAAGGTCAACGTGTACGTCTACGCCATTCTTTCGGCCTCCTTACCGATGACATCTTAAACGTTTTTGATTTTTCTTACATCGTATAGCTTACCGAATATACGCAGTGCGTTTCATTTGTGATTGGTGCCGAAATGAAATAATATTTTTTCGGATGACGAATGATGCCATCCAGTAGTAAACATAAAGTAGTATTGAGGACGAACCGAAGGTAAAATCGCAATCCCAGTCAACTACAGTGCAATGGAAAAACAAAATAAATAAATAATAGAAATTACGTGATATTTGCATTGAAATGTATTAATTATGTACCGCTCATAGCGTTAAATGGCAAAATGACGAAACTTAAACCATTTATGTTCCTTAATCGTTTTATTAACCGTTGGATAAAAAATATAATTAGCCTAATCGATGAACATGCATGTATTATTCGTCGATTTCTTTTCTTCTTAAACTTACAAAACAATGTATCACGTTAACAATTGTCGAAAAAAAACCGTATGCAACGCAGTTGTTGACGCTCGCGCTATGGCCTATCGGAAAATCGGGAATCTTCCCGGTGGGCTGGTGCTTGTTTGGGTCACTCTAAATTATTATATAATTACCAAAGTTTTATTTTGTAAAATAAATAAAAATCATTAAAAAAATAAATATATATTAGATGCATTAAGATCACACTTCAAGTTTAAGTTGTAACTGATTAATCATGTGACTTACCCAAAACTATTATAGCTATAATCATAGTAAAGTTATTGTAGATTTTACTAATTTAGGGGTGAAATTAAACAAATTTTGAAATTAATGCAAAATAAAGCTTTTTTTTTGTAGGGAAGAGGGGTAAAATAGTTTAATTTGCGGTTCATGGGTCGGTTTGTTTCATATTTCCTAGGCCGAAAATAATTGCCAATCCGTCCCTATGGCCTCCTATACGGTAGGGCCGATCGAAGGTTTGCTGCACGAGCTCGCGAAGTAAGGACGGGAATCGGAATGCAACGGATGACTCGTCGTCCGGTTCAGTGGGTAACACAGGATTGTCCGGAACGTGTAGTGTTTTCCGTATGCGGGATTCGGCGATAACGCGTGTTCCGCGAGGACCGTGCGAAAATCGGTAACGACGAAATCCGTCTCACGGCCGTCGTATCGCGATCTGTAGATTCAATCGTCCGAGAACGAGCCAGGGCCGGCGTTAGGGGTAGACAAAACGGGGAATTTGTTCAGGACCTCGCGTCTTCAAGGGCCTCGCGCTTAAAATATTCGAATAATATTTTGTACGGAAATCTCATAAAATAAAATGTGAACTGTGTAGTTCGCCTGGCGAGGGCGATTTCTAGAGAAATCCGTCGGCGTGTAATAAAAAAACCAATTAACAAAACAACAATATTATATTTAACATGTTAGATATGCACCGACGACGACGACGCCGCACAGTATGAAAACTGGGATAAATAGGATATTTATTTTATTACATTTCTTAAATATAATCAACTGATTATTAACAATCATATTATAACAGTCATTACCCGATATCGCTTGCAGCTGTCACCGATCTAATTACATGTTATCGCCTATAATTGCGGCTTACAGGCTGTAGTTGACTATTTTTCAGGGGCATATTTTAGGGGGGGCGAAGGAGGCGATCGCTCCTCCCTGAATCCCCATTTAAGGAATCGATTATACGAGTATGTGAGATACACATTACAAATTTTTTTAATGTGGATCATTTTATAATGAAAT